CACCACACCCGTCATCGATGCCGCCACACCCGCCGCCAACGCCACACCCGCCACCGTCGCCGCCACCGGCACTAACGCCACCGCAGCCACACCCGCCGCCAACGCCACACCCGCCAACGCCACACCTGCCAAGGCCGACTCCAACGCCGCCAAGGCAAATGCCACCACACCCCACCACACCCGTCACCGATGCTGCTTCACCTGCCGCAGCCGCCACGTCCACCGCCACCGCTACAACCGCCACCGTTGCCGCCACCGCAGCCACACCCGCCGCCAGCGCCACACCCGCCAACGCCAACTCTAACGCCTCCAAGGCAAATGCCACCTCACCCATCACCGATGCTGCTTCACCTGCCGTTGCCGTCACACCCGTCGCCAATGCCACACCCGCCACCGTCGCCGCCATCGCCACCGCCACGATCGAAGCGGGGTTGTGGATTGGATTACGGTTTTGGGCGTTCAGATTGCACAGACTGCATCAGCAAAGTTGTTAATATAAAGGATGAGGGATGTTTTGCAGTTGTGAAACGAGGAGGGATGTTCACGCAAAGGTTTCTAATTCGTCTTTGAGGGGTTCCATTATAATCCAAACCAGTCATTTCAACACTGGGGGGACAAACTACTCCTTTACCACGAGGCGGTAAGGGGCGTGAGACACAGTGCTAGAAACAGGCAAAGCCCGGTGCTGTTAATGATACACGCCTTACGCTTGAGGCCCCTTGTGACGGCAGTAGAGTAGCAATACTGGTGGTGGTCATGGAGCGCTTGGCATTCCAAAGTAGGTGGCGCAGGTGGCTGGCCTACTCACGTCCTCCACCACTCGCAGCTGCACTCCCTCCACCATCTCATACGCACAACCAAGGGGATGGGGGCCCGCAGATGGAGGGAAGTAGGGAAGTAGTAACGGCGGTGTCATAGGGTAATTATACAGGCAGGCAGGCAGAAGGTTAGGCAGGTCAGAAAGCAGGTGGGTAAGGTCGGAAAGCAGGTGGGTAAGGTCGGAAAGCAGGTGGGTAAGGTCAGAAAGCAGGGGAGTCAGGTCAGAGAGCAGGGGAGTCAGGTCAGAAAGCAGGGGAGTCAGGTCAGAAAGCAGGGGAGTCATGTCAGAAAGCAGGGGAGTCAGGTTAGAAAGCAGGGGAGTCAGGTTAGAGAGCAGGGGAGTCAGGTCAGAAAGCAGGGGAGTCAGGTTAGAGAGCAGGGGAGTCAGGTCAGAAAGCAGGGGAGTCAGGTTAGAGAGCAGGGGAGTCAGGTCAGAAAGCAGGGGAGTCAGGTCAGAAAGCAGGTGGGTAAGGTCGGAAAGCAGGGGAGTCAGGTCAGAAAGCAGGTGGGTAAGGTCGGAAAGCAGGTGGGTAAGGTCGGAAAGCAGGTGGGTAAGGTCGGAAAGCAGGTGGGTAAGGTCGGAAAGCAGGTG